ACCTGAGATCATAATGGATTCCTACATAATGACCATTAAACTTTGACATAATCAAAAGTCACATTTAACCATGTGATCATAAAGGCTATGATCGAGTTTAGTGGTATTCATATAGAGGAATATGAGTAATCAAGATAAATTTGTCCCTCACATTAATTGAGAGATATTATTGGGCCCCTTGATGAGTAAGATTGAGAAAATGTATGGCCATACTATAATAGAAAGGTCAGTTTTATTGCTATAGTCAGTCAACTTAAAGATTGAGAAAATAATCGTTAGGTAAAGGAAAATGACAATTCTATGTCTCACACTTGACCAAAATATAGCGTGATAAAAGGAATGTAATATGATTATATGATAGGTTACATTGGATCATCAATCTCTATTTAAATTAGACAGTCATAATGTCTTACTAGAGGCAACTTGTGACTTATAGGCTGGTAGCGTTATTAGCCTGTTCTTAACTTCATACAGGCTTACAAGGTTGCACACAAAAATAGCCTAACTCAAGTTATAATGCCTAAGTTCATTTACTCTGAAATGTGTCTGGATTCAATGAATGCAATTCTTTATCCAGGGTGAATGAATTATATATGTATTTGAATATTTATCTTATATATATTTATAATATATATGAAATGTATATGAAATATAAAATTTAAAATATAATATTATATATATATTCGAAATATATGTATATATATTAGATTTAATTTATGAGATAAATTTTATTTCATTGACTCAAGATATGATTTTGAAAATAATTGTGATTTTTTGGAAAATTCATGAGGGAAAAGAAAAACCCTTATCTATATATAGTATAGAAAAGGACGAGCTTCTTAAATAAGAGATAGACTTTTGATAGCAAAACTTTTTGAAAGCCACGGACATACCCTAAATAAAAGGAGAAGTTTGATGTTTAAAATAAGACAAATAGATGTTGGAAGTGCTAGTACATTGTTTGTGTTGAAAGCTATTCGTGTAGATACCTGTATAAGGAGATGATTTGCATTGTCAGTACTTGAGGTCCCAAACGGTTGAGGGAAGCTTGAAAGTTTGACATACAAAAGGTAATACTTCTACTCAACTTGATTTAATTGAATTCGATCTGTCCGAGATAGTAGTTAGGGTTTCTAGATTTTGTTTTTTTTTCACTATGCTCTTAATCCAATAGTGTGATCATGCATATGGAGTTAAAAAAGGGCACATGATTGTCTGTATTGTGACCTTAGTAAAACAACTTATATGTTTAGTTTATTTTTAGATGAAATTGTATGACTAGATCATTATTCTATGAGCACGTGTTATTATGATTGAGAATTTTGAGTTTGTGCTCTTAAAGATGTTAAATGATTTGAAATTGATATCCTTGTCACTTACATTTAAATTGATTAATATGCATTAGCTTAAGTTAGATGAACATTGGTTACTGAATAGTTGTACTAACTCCATTATCTTTAACATTACAAGTGCTAGCTTATCGGGGATGAGATCGATGGAAATAAATTGAGGCTTAGGATTATGATCCTAAAATTTGTAGGCCTATTTTATTTTGAGTATCATATGTGTATAGTTGTTGATGATGTTGCCATTTAGGAGTTGACATGTGCACTTACTTGCCTTATGGGTCATTTTGTTAAGCTGTGTATTTTGGGCTTTAGGTTAAGTATGTATGAATTGTAAAATCTGGAAAAGGCAAAAATACTAATGCAAGTAAGGGATGGATATGACATGTGATTGAGAATGATTAATTGATGATTATGTGACTGAATCCCCCCTTTCTGTTTTTGAAATTAAGGGATTGAGCATTGAAAATATGTTGCATTGGTTATTTGTGAGTTATAGTGTATTGCACAGGTCTATTTTGGTCTTTTGAGTGTAGTCTAGGGTGTAAAATTGGCTTTTAGCACTTGAAATGTGAATTGAGCACCTTTATGATGTTATAAGATTGAAAAGGAGTGGTTTTTGAAATTGGTATCCAAAATTTGATTGAGAAATGTTATAATTGTGAAATTAGTACCATTAGTTAGAGCTAGGAGAAAGCTCTCTGTGACACCTAGATTACTTTAATCAAACATCGAACGGAAAAATTTTACCCGGGTTGCTATCATATGATAGCAAAATTCACTGTTAACTATGTGCAATGCATGGCACAGAGGCACACAAGTTGCAACACATGTGTGATAAGCCACGGTGCACGACTCTCTACTCTACCGATTTATTGTTTTCAATGTTTATGCAAATGTTTTAATTCTTTCTAAGATCTCATGTTTCTATATACTAATTTAAACTATGACTCATACTTGTAAAAATGATTTTGTTAGTTTGGAAAACTTAAAAACTTGGGTTCTCATTTGTGTAATTTGATAAATCGATAATTATCTTGATTGTCTGGAGATTGTGGTGAATTTGTAAGGGTAACCTTACTTGTTTAACTCAAAAATTTTACAGATTGAGGTTAACAAACATCAGTAATAATTGATTATCATTAATCAACTCTCATTTCATGATTAAGTTCTGATACTCTCATTAAGCATGATTAAGCACAACTAACCTTAAAACTCACTTCCATTAGCGCATTTAACTTTTAATGTGCTTCATAAATACTATTAGCTACCCTCATTAGCTTAAACTTAGTTATTTAACATTAAGGTTAATTTTAAACCCATCATTAATGGCATTTAGTATCACCAACCATCAAGATTCAAGATTAAAAGCATTTAATAACATCCATATATTCTATTAGAGTCACTAGAACGGCTAAGTCTTAGCCATAAATTCAAACCAAACCTCAACTACCTTAAGGAGTATAGAAGATGTGTAAACATGGTGCAAGAGGAGAAGAATCCAATTGATTATCACCCTTAAACAAACTCTAAGAAGCCTCCAATGTGAACCATAGCAAAGTTCTAGTGCCTTCCTTTTGGATCTCTTTCGCAACTATCTCTTTTATGTATTTTTCAAATTGCAGAATCAGGATTTAAAATCTCATCGTGTCTGCCACAAATTAAGGCCTCATCTATTGTGGTGAATGGCTAGAATAGGAAGGATTACTTAAGCCTGACAATTCAGGCCTAAAATGGCCAAATGACTCTTTAACTCATATTCTAAACCTCATAAAGGATCCAATAAGCATAAATGGCCATCCAAGCTCTCTAATTAATGACTAATTACCACAATTAATTAATTAAATCTCTCGATTAATTAATCTAGCCCTTGAATTAAATTTTGAGAGGTTACATGTAATTTTCCATTTTTGTTCTTTTTCCTATTTTCCTATAATCGCTTTCCACTTCTAACATCTCATCATCTCCCTTTCTGTTTGTTCCAACTCCCAACAACCTTATTATTTGCCAACATTATATTTTTAAAAATTTACATATATATTTTTAAATAAAGAGGAAAATGACAAGGAAATCCCCTTAAAATATGTAAATAATAATGAGATCTTATGAAACATAATAACTCTTCTTAAGTCTACTGGAACCTTTCTAACATTAATGCCATTTGTGAAATGACTATAATGCCCCCAGTTTAAAATAAAAAAGAAAAGGATATAGTGAAACTTATTAGTTTCTGTCTTATTTTTAGTCATTGTTAAAAGATAAAAAAGTTATTATTTAGATCAAAATAATTATTGATATATTTACAACACTAAGATTTTAATGATAAAAAATGGGAGAATTACTGTTTAATCCCTCATAATGATTATAATTACCTTAAAGTCCCATGAAATGTACAAATTATTACTAAGTCCAAAATAAATAAGTTTTTCACTGCAATTACATTAATACCCTCTAACTTTTGACGATGATAAGAATTTTCTTTTTCTTTGCTTGTCTTCCTTCATAGACCAAGGATGGATCTCATTCTTGATTCTGTTCCAACTGCTGTCGCTTTCTCCCCCCACGCCATGCTTCCATCCTTCAGCTTCCTAGTTAATCTCACCCGTAGCTCACCCTTCTATCGCTGACCTTAATCACCACAATCACCTCCCCCTCGGCGAGCTCGAATACTTCTCCGATCACACCAACCTCTTCCTTCTAATCAACCCTCTCGCCCTCGTAAAATTGTCAAAAAGGAGAATCCTCCCCTTGAATCTCCATGTTTGGATGTTAATGTAACCACCCCAAGAGTCTTGTGTTTAAATCATTTTATTACAATGTCATGATGACCTGCCTCGACTTTTAACCACTGAAGTCGAACCTTAAGAAGTGCATTAATGAAGGGGCGAACTTGTTGGTCTGAGTGGGACTAGAAGTGGAGAATGGAAGAGGGCTTCATGCTTATAGTGATTTTAGAGGAATTGAGGAGGGGAGAGAGGAAGAAAGGCAGAGACGTGAGAGAGGGAAGGAGGAGTAAGAACCTTAAGAAGAGTGATAACAGTAGTGGAGGTGGCAAGATGTGGAGGAAGGGGATTTGAGTTGTGACAAATTTTGTGGGGAAGAAAGCTTCAACAAGTGGCCTATAGGAGAAAAGAGTGATGATGATAGGATTTGACAGGATTTTTTTCTAGCTTTGTTTTTAATACTTGGAGGTCAAATTTGTTTTTTCATGTGTGTTAAAAAAAAAACACCCAAGTCCTTTAGGACCTCTCAATAATTAAACAAATTCAAGGGTAGATGAAAAGTTGTAAGTATTTACTCCCCTTAAATAATAATATAAGTTGTTTTGTAGAAGCATCCCTTTATCCAAAATATAGGATACTGGTTAAATTTTTTTTATTCATATCCTTACTTTTTTTATTCCTTGTCTTTAAGTGCTCTATATTAAAGATTATGTTTTACCTAAGGCAAATTTTTTGACTGCACGGAGTTTTTTTTTCAGTAATATCTTTTATTCTGATACTGATATATTAATAAAATAATAATAATTACTAATGAATAATGATATTGGAAAGCGGGGAATGCAATGTTTGCTAGGATTAGATCATCAGAAGGGCAAAAAAGGAGGGGGGTGTTTTTTCAAAAACATTACTAGTATCATAGAATGATCCAACAAAGATATTTCTCATGTTAATGTGGACAAAAACGGCACAACTCAACACCTAGGAGTGCCTCACTGCCTCGCTCGCTACTCGGAAACTCCGTCTCTCGACAGGCCTTGGCATGGCAAAATCACGCGCTTCTCTTTGCTCCTGTCAATGTGATCAACTCTAGGGTTTCTCTTTGGACTCTCTGCCATAACTAATTTGTGAGTCCTCCCTATCTTTCTCTACTTTTGTCCTTCGATGTGTAATCTAGGGTTTACGACATTCTTTCTTTTACTTTGTGAATATTTATCCCGGTTGAAATTGTTGTTTAGATTTCTCATACTGTGAGTGTAGTGTTGCATTCCCTTTCATTTCAAATTTTAAGGTTTTATCCATGTACAATACAATTTCGGTTTCAAGAGTATATCTTGGATTGGGAAGACTGGGTTATCGTATTTTCGTGTGTATCTTCTGTTCTCAAGCATTTAAATATTTGATCATTGAGGCAACCATAGGCCATTTCAACGGGTTACCAGCTGGACGATGGAAAAAATTGTTTTGTATTAGGAAGCTTATGAATTACGATATTAGTAGCTCATTAATTTTAGTTTTTTTAATACCGCCACTTATGTCTTGCCGGGTCTTCGCATGGAAGACTGGGCACCCTTGCTACTTGTGGTCTTCCCTTTCGCGAGTATTGTACCTTAGCCTAGGGCAGTATGTATTGCTGAATTAGGAACACCTGCAATTATTATGGATTCTGATTAAATTTGTTAGTTTCAGACTTATAATAAAAGAAAGCAAGTCCCCCTCAGTGTTCCATCTCATCCTTTCGTTTGCTCTTTGATTTGCTTCTGGTGAAACATCTCCTTCCTTTTCGGTTCTAGGATTTTAGGTGGAGAATTTAGAATTCTGAAAATCATGTAGCATACAATTTGCTAAATGTTGATACCGCGTTTGATCTTGGTTTTGATTTTATTCTTTCTTTGTTCTTATTTGGGCACCATCTTTATATGATATACTTCGGACAGTTGGGATATAGTGTCTCTTGGATATATGTAGCCTTGTTTAGCTGTGATCCAACTGTGAAGTCACTTTATATGCTAAAGTTGCCCAAAGACTATTCAACTGATATTGATGGAAGAAGATTTATTTGGTCACTCATACCTCTTGACCTTATGATATCATCTTTAGGGTTTCATTTGTGTTCCCGCCTTGCTTGTCAAGATGAGACATTAGGTAGTAGGCTAGGCACTTTCCTATGTGCTTTAGTTCTCTGTATCTCAGTGAGAGTACATTTTCTGAAGTACTAATATGAGATACAATTTTTCTGCAGTAATGTCATGTGATCAGTGCGTGAAGATGTTTGCAAGTTCATTCCAAGTAGCTGGTGTAAATATGTTTCAAATGGGATTTGGTCCCTCTACAAGAGCGATATTGGAAATTTTACACATTAAACAATCTATTTGGGAATTTTTTCAGAGTGATGATTATTTCAATATAATCTGAGATAGCAGCATAAACCACTTGCTAGTTTTGAAATTGGAAAGGATGTCTCACCTTATGTAAATAAATTTTTACCAGTAGTGCCAAATGTGCTTCAAGAACAGCCATTGGAGAAACTAATGCAATAGACATGTAGACAGATGAGTCTGCTTTTGAGTGGTCGATTGTTGAGTGTTACAATCGGGGAAACTCTGTAATCTATGAGTACAAGTGTTGTAAAGATATACAATTTTCATCATATATAAGGTTTTTTCATGTTCTATGGAGAATGTGAACTTGGATTTGGAAGATTATTGGGAAGTTGAAAGTGCTAGATTCTTTTGTTTTTTTGTTCGAAATTCAAAACATCTTTGTTGTCTTGATGTTAAAATCACATTGAAATCATTTGAGAACTTAGATTGATATGCTTCTCTGAAATACTGGACCTATTAACTGTGAAAGAAGCTATTTCGACTTCTGATGTTTATTGTTTGGTGGCCTTGCTAAAAGTTTCATGTATTTATTGGGTCTAGGAATTAGTAACAAAAATTTCTGTCAAAATGTGAGTCATTTGCTTGCTTATGGGTTCAAATGGGACTTATTTTAAAGCAAGTTGTATCAGCCTGTTCTAGATTCCAAAGGACATACAATACAGTTTCCTGTGCTGAAGTTGACCTTGGCCACGGTAATTTTGACCATGTTAAGGAACCTTTTTATGGGTATAGGTATCTTGACTCCATTAGTTCCTTTTCAGGTGACGTCTTTCCTTGTTGGAAAAGTATGTTACAGAGTTTCATACTCTGAGGAATAACTAATGATTGTTAGTACAACACATGAGAAAAGGAGCTATGTTCATGTGTCTATGAGACTATGTACACGTGCTTACCTGTCAGCAAGCTTTTAAGAATGAAGGACCCATGTTTTTGTTGTATGGGCATGGCATGGCTCTTATTTGTCTGGGGCGAAATAATTACAAATTTGTAAATAAAACTTCCATTGAAAAGAATTAGAGATGCAGTTCAGAATTCAGAATTAAAATTCAGAGCATGTGCGAGACAGGCTTATCTGACCAAACGTGCCATGCCCTTCCTGCATCCTGAATTTCTAGAGAAGCAGTTTATCACAGGTTAATTTTGGTATATTGAAAAGGGTTTTAAGGAAATGGAGAAGGGAACGGGATTGAAATGAATATAGATGGTGTTTAGCTTGCGTGGGAATGGAAAGGGAATATTTTTTGTAATGGTGTTTGGTATAATAGAAATAAAAGAGGGTTGGAAATAAATAAAGTGAAAATGACTGAAATATTCTTCACCCAAAAAGTTTTAAGAAGTGTAAAGTCCCAATGTATAGTTTTTACATGGGTTTCCATGGTGTACAGTAACATTTCCTCAAACTTTTGATGTAACGATTTTATATCTTTTGGTTTCTGGAGGAATAAGAGAGAGAGTGATATTTATACGTACCAAACAAACTTGAATTGAATCCTTTGTCTACTTCCTTTTCATTCTATAGGATGGAAGCCTAACAAATGTGACCCTAGTTCGTTGCATATTCCTTTTAAATTATACTTTGTATTCATCTGAAACTGTTGATGAAAATTTTTGTCCATGATGAAATGTGAGCAGCATCCATTCAGTTGTCTATCTTCCTCGTCATTATCCTACCAATTAAATGCTTACTCATGTTCAAGGATTTGATTCTTAATCCTCTTATTCTTCATTTTTGCCAAGAAATTATGTGGAAAAAAAAAAAAAACCTACGGAGAAGAGTGTAACATGGCCTTTAAAATAGTTATGTTTTTATGTCTACTTCTGGCAAAATATCCGGATAGTTTGTTTGTTCTGTACTTTGGTCCATCTTGGCACGCTCTGCTTGCTCTCCTTTTGATGTTAACTAGCAAAACCCGTGGGATGGATTTGGGTGGGGAAGGAAATAGAATGAGAATGTTCAATCACAACCTAACATAGACTCTGCAATGTGAATCGAATTTGATCGTTCAAGTATGTGAAAAGCATTCATGGTTGCTCGTGATTAATTACATTGGTAGAAAAAGCCAGCAGCTTCTACCTCTGATTCTTCTCTGAGATCATTATATAGTTTCTCAGCTTCTCTGTGGGTTTGATGGCAAAAAAAAAGTGGTCAACTGAAATGGGAGAGGCGGAGAGCTCTTTTGAGTTGATCCCCCCACTTCTTTCCTTGTTTATTTTCGCTTTATGTTTGCGTTTCTTGATTTGGATTCCCAGCCATCCGTTCTAAATCCTCTCTCTCACTATATCCTTGTTTTATCAGGAATGTGGTCAACTGTACATGTGACTTGTGATTGATGTGATCATAGATTAGGATCAATTCGAGTTGTTTCAGACTTTGTTAGAATACCAGCATTGTTACTTCTATTGCAATGTATTGATGAGGCTTTTTTTCTTATTAGCTGTCGGCTGTTTTTTTTTTTCCATAACATGTTTTCTTGCTTTGGTGAGCCGAACAAGCAAATAAAAAAAAAATTTAAAGAAAGATCAGTTCAGATTCCTGGTTTTCGGTATTTATATGTTGCTTTTCTAATCCAGCACACTGCATTAATTGGAGGGAAGCTATAAGGCTCTGGGAAGTGGAATGAGTGGGAGTGGTAGAAGGCGTTCCTCAAAGTGGGATTTAAGAGATGAACCTGAGTTTGTATCTGACAGTAAGCAATTGCGATCTGGGTGGTCCTCTGCCAATGTTACTGGTAGCAATAGTTCAAAGTGGTCTTATCTGGAAGGGAATGAGAAGCTAAAACCTAATATGCGATTACCATACAAAGAACCTTTTTCTGGAGGCAGAGTTTCTAATAAGGATGATATCATGAATAAAGACTATAACAGAGATTTGGATGCCAAAATGGCATGGGACGCAGATGAGAGCTATGGAATGAAAATGTCTCCAGGGTTGGAGGAGTGGAAACGTAAGAGGCGCAGTCATTCCCCAAAAAATGGTTTGGACAGGTCAGTCAGGTTTGATTCCCCACTCAGCATTTATTTACCAATCTATTTTCTAATTTAATGAAGTATGGATTGTCATGGAAAACGTCTACAAATAAACAATTATATGGAATTGTATACTAACTTCTGAAAGTCTGTTAAATTTATTTATCCTTTCATCTTGTTCCATGAAGCATTGCCATTCCAAGGGGGAGCTGTTCACACTCAACCAAAACAATCTGACATCTTTGAACAGTGTTCTTGTAAACAGAAAAGTGTTCTATTTTTTGAAACAAAAACTTAATCAAATTTCACTGTTGGGTTAAAAACTCTTGCCTTGTAGACCATGCTCAAAAAACTTTATGCTGATTAGAAATCAATTTAAGCTCTACTAATATATCTTAAGATTGACGTCATAATGTAAACTTTTTGGGCAAGAATATGAATTATAAATATAAGAAGATTTTTACTAGATTTTTGACTTATCTATGACCAATTTAGTTGAAATTTGGTAGGGATAACAGTTTGTTAGCGTTTTAACTCTCACGTCGTTGTCAACAGAGGCTGACTGAGAAAATCTTCAAAGCTGAAGTTAGCTTTTTTTCAAAAGATGTTTTATGTCAACAGCAATTTTGAGATTGTGCAAATAAGGTGTATTCATGACCATGGTGCTGTATTTCTTTCTTTCACTGTCATTCTTGAACTTTTTGATTGCTCTCTATTTTGGATCTTTGACGGTGAGTTGGTCATTGATTCAAGATCATGTCAACCAAACACCCTTTCTCATTTATGAAGTACTGTTATGAATTTATTGGTTGTGATCTTAAGAGTCAACATGATGTATCAGCTCTAGTTTTTGCCAATGCAGTGTCTTTTATTGATTGCCTATCCTTTCGTTGGGTGTTGTCATATTTAGGAGCAGGAGCCGGAGCCGGAGCCGGAGCCCTGCCCTTGGGTTTAGGTGGGAATCAGGAGTCAATGACAGAAATAGAATGAGAGATGGAGGATTGCCGCAACCATGTAGAGATTTTGCTGTTGGAAAATGCAGAAGAGGCAGCCGTTGCCATTTTCTTCACCATGACAATCGAAATTATGAGGATGGCTGGGACAGGAGAAACAGGAAAGATGGACCTCCTAGATATTCTGCTCCCTATGAAAGCAGGGACATTTCTGCTAGGAGTGGAAGATCAAGTGAGACCTGTATCAATTTTGCACAAGGGAAATGTAGAATGGGAGCATCTTGCAAGTCTGTGCATCATAGCAATTCTGATGATATGAGCAAAGGAAATGTAGATGAATCAACTAGAGAGAGGGAATTTGATCAAAGGCGTAGGGAGAGTTCTTTCGAGCGTAGTGGTGGGCATGAGCCAAACCGCTTTAGTGGTACTCCCTGCAAATTTTATGCAGCAGGCAATTGTCGCAATGGTAAACATTGCAGGTTTTCTCATGATAGGCAGGCATCTAGGAGTCCAAATAGAAGATTAAGAGATGACAGGTGGGGGGACAATCCAGGTGGAGATCAGGCATTGGATAGAACAAGAGGGAGTAACTCAGTTAGTCCTGGTAGAAGGCTAAGAGATGATAGATGGGGTCCAGATATGGTTGACGTGGATAAAATGTGGGATGGTCCACAACTGAATGATGCTGTTGCTGTCCCAGATACAGCAAAGCTGGGTGAAGACAAGAGTGGAAATATGGGCATACCAGATCCTGGATTCACTACTTGGCCCAGGACTGATGGATGGGGCGATAATTTAGATAACAACAAAGTGTATGCGGAGCCACCTTTTGTGGGTGACAAGAAGAAAGTAGAACAATGGAAGACAGAAAATGCTGGTACTACCATGGGTGCTCCCCAATCAATTGTGACTGACAAATGGCTTGATGATGCAGAAATGTCTCCTGATTGGAATTATGGGAGTGGATCTTCTGGGCACATTGAAGACAAGAGTGGACAGAAAAAGCAAGGTTTGACCCAGGGTGGTGCATATTTAGCCACCTCCGAACATAGTAGATTACAAGTTGCTCCAGGTAATTATCTGCTTGATGTTTCGGGGAGTTGACATCCTTTGTTTTTAAATACACCTTTTAACATTGAAAACCACGATTTTAAGCAGGATATTACTATTACATTCAGGATTCTCCTGGTTCTCACATAGACAATTTTTCAATTCTGTCAGGACAAGGTTTCAATCAGAACACACAGAATGTAAATGCTTTGCATCCTTCTAGTTGTAATGTTGTTGGACAAAGTCAAGGGGCAGTCCCTGTTGCTCCTCCACTTGGAGGGTTAGTTGAAGTTATTCAGAACCAAGCATCTTCTGTAAAAAAGTTTAGTGTTGAACCAAACATCATGGATGCAAGCTTATCGCATGTTAGTACAATAAACAATCCAACTCAAAACATGGTGAGCAATGAACAGCTTGCTCATCTTAACAGCCTCTCAGCCTCTCTGGTTCATTTCCTGGGAACAGGTCAGCAACTTCCACAAATTTATGCTGCACTAAATTCTCATGATGCAAAGGACACATCCTCCCTACCCAAAACCAAAACTGAAGTGTCTGGGGAGCCTGTTTCCAGTGCATGCATCAAGCCTGATCCTGTTATTGGATCCCGGAAGCTGTATGATCCAATGAATGATGGTATGGAGCCAAAGAAAACTGATGCAGGTGGAATCACGCCATCCTTTTCTCCCAGTAAAACAATTGCCGATGGTTCAGGGAAACAAAATCATGGTGATTCTTATAAGACTTCAGAAGCACAAATTGTCAAGAGTGAACATTTAATGCCGTTGCAGCCAGGTCAAAAAGCTGAAGCTAATGAGGGAAACAATGACGTGGCAGCTGAGGAAAGGCAAGATTCTCGAGCGGAAGATAGAAATGCAAAAGATAATGGCCCTTCAGAAAATATGGACCAAAATGGGCCTGATGAGGCGAAAAAAATGAAGGATGTGAAAGGGATTCGTGCTTTTAAATTTGCGCTGGTTGAGTTTGTTAAGGAGCTTCTGAAACCAACATGGAAAGAAGGTCATATCAACAAAGAACATTATAAAACAATTGTGAAGAAAGTTGTTGATAAAGTAACCGGTACTATGCAGGGGGCTCATATCCCTCAGACACAAGAAAAAATTGATCACTATCTGTCAGTTTCGAAACCAAAGCTTAACAAACTTGTACAGGTCAGTTCATTTGCATGTTGAAAATAGACTTCTGATGGATTTCTCGTTGTCTTCCCCATCTTAGTTGCTTTTCTAGATGCATGTGAATTTTGATCTGGAAACTAATTATATTTTATATATGGCTTAATTTGTCTGTTGCTAGAGCTTCTGGAAAGTTGTTTGAGAAAATGAGTTGGAATCTTGAGCACGGGTTTGTGTACCTTTATGATGTTTCTCTTGCATGACTGACCATAAAATTTAGAGTCTCATTCTCATATGCAATGAAATGTAATTCTGGGAACCAATTTTTAACTTGATCTATTTTCTTGATTATTTCTTTTTTATTTCATAGTCTAATTATTCTGTTAATTTAACAAATAATCTTAGTAAATTTCTTCTTCAAATATCCACATCATATTGAAATCTTATTTGTTTTCTGATTTTTGTTCTGTTGAATTGTTGTGTTTCTAGCTTACGTGATCTCTAACTTATTTTGATCTTCAAGTTCGACCATTTTTTCTTGCTGAACGTGTAGCCATCTTATAACTGAAGTCAAAGTAGTCTATTTTGGTAGTGGAGATCTATGGCAGCTTCTGAATCTAAGTTTGCAATCGAGATACTTTTTTCTTCTGTTAAAGTCTATCAAGTGTCAAGCTAAATGATAAAGTGATAACTAGCATATTTTTCCTTCTGTTGCAGGCATATGTTGAAAAGGTTCAGAAGGCTTAGTGCCAGTATAGGAATTTGGCCATCTAGACTATCTTATTACATTATGTTAGAGGTTATTATCTTCATTGTGTACTATATTTCAGTACATTGTAGATTTTTTGTTTTTGTTTGTTGTAGTTGATGGTCGAATTGGGTTTCTTTACAGCTCTTGCTTACCGACAAACTGGGATTATTTATTTTTTACTTTTTGATAATTTCCCTTCTTTCTTTTGGGAAAAATTTTTGGTGTCTTCTGCTATCGGACATAAGTTGCCACTTCAGTTTGAGGCTGACGTAGGATTCTTTTTTCTTTTTTTGGCTACAACGTGGGATTCATGGTCTGAAAGTTGTTAACTCTGAACGTTTTTTTTCCCCCATCATCGTTGTGGCCTTTTTGGTGCTTTCCTTCTTACGTCCGCAAAATGAAAACCCCATCCTCCTTCTCAATTTCAATGTAATGTAGATATGGTTTATTTTAAAATACTCCCTCCTTCCATTTATAAGGTATATTTTAAAATATTTATTTAATTCTTTTTATAAATCACGGTGAGATTTTTTAGATAATATTTAAAAAATATTTTTAAAATTACCGTTTGAGAAAAAAAAAGCAATATAATATTATTTTTTGAATTTGTCATATTAGGGCATATTTGAAATTTTATATTTTTATATTTTTTATTTTTTGTATTAATATTGATAAGGTTGATAGAAATAATTTATAAAAATGATGGAAGAGTATGAAATACATGGGAAAATGTAGTTAGAATGCATGATAAAATGATTTGGTTAAAATTACCCAAGGTTGCTGGTAAATTGTTTTATCATGTCTAACATTTTAACCTTATTTGTTGTGTGCATGCATTATGTTAACTTTCATTGTCCTTATGTAGAGCTGGCAAAAAGGGCCGGCCCGGTCCTGTAGGGTCGGCCCTTGAAGGGCTCGGGCCTAAAAGGGCTGGCTTTTTTAAGCTCGAGTTCCCTTTAGGACTTTGATTTTCAAAGCCCGGCCCTTGACATGATGGGCTTAGGGTCGGCCCTGCGGGCTTTAGGCCCTTTTAACTATTTTTATTTTTTTTAAATTTTTTAATCAAACAAAAAATTACTTCATTCTAATATAATACTCAATCAAGAAAGGTATAAAAAAAATTAACTAAATAACATCTAAATGAACTAAAAACACAAATAAAATAATAATAATGCAATAAGTAATAGATCGATTAAGCTAACAAACACTCAATCAAAATTAGAAGAGTAAATGTTGAAATGAATGAATCATTATCATGGATCTAGATGAATTAGGGGATTTAAGGTTGTATTTTTTTTAGAAAATAGCAGCCAAGGATTTCTGTATGAAATTTATATTAATTAAGAATCAATTATTGTTAAAACCTGAATGAAAAACAAGCTACAATGAACTATTGTTAATTTAAAATAAATTGTTATTAAAATCTAAATGAATACTTATTGATAAAGGCTAACTCGAATTCACAAGTATCTACTCGAATTTTGACAACAAGTGATCTTTGACTGATATAATTTTTGATCAGTGATTCTTCATTGCTATTTTTCCTTCTTTTTTACCTTCCATCCTCAGTAAATATGGGCTAACATGTGATGTGGAGTAACATTTAGTTTAATTTTTTTTCAAATGTAAAAAGAGTAAAAATTATGAGAATTAATTAAAAAAATAGATATGTGGGTTTAAACGGGCTGACCCTCAGCCCTGCAGGGCCGGCCCTTTTAAACTTTAAATTAAACGGGCTTAAACGGGCCAGCTCGTTTAAGCCCGATTTATCATTTTGGAGTCCTATTTACAAGCCTGGCCCTACTCTTATACGGGCTTAAACAGGCTAGCCCAACGGGCTCGGCCCATTTTCCCGACTCTATCCTTATGACCTTATGTTTGAAATTCTTAGTATTCTTTAAATTTTTTCATTGACCCTTCTAAACAATGATGCTCCTCCACTTTATTTATAATTTAAAAATGGATAAGTAATAAATTTGGCCACATATTATTTTTTCAAGAGCATTTGGTAACTTAAACGATCGCATGATGTGAAATATATCATGAACTTGGAAAAACAGAGTATCCAATAACTCGTTAATTTTAGTAAACGAATGTCATGTGGGGTTCATAATGACACGTGACATTTCATATTAATATGTGTAAAGTTATAAATTTAGTCAAGAATTATTTTTTAAGGAACACTAGGTAGCCTCTATTATAAAAAACAGACCATCTAATATTTTTTTCATTAATCTTAACTAAACATAATGTATTTTCATACTTATGAGACCCACAATGCATTAATTTTTTCGATCTTTTTCCTTTTGTTTCTAGTCTTAGCTCGAGGAAAAGATGTTCAAAGAATTTTTATTTGAAAACATTCATGAAAAAGATGCCAATGAAGTAAAAGCTTAATTTTATTATACATGGAAGAAGCTTAATTATAACTTAATTTAGTTACGAATTATTTATTTTACTTTGTTGGTGTCATTTTCGTGAATATTTTCAAATAAGAACTATTTAAATTTCTTCTTTTTAAGCTAAAATTGAGAACAAAGACAAGAAAATTAGAGATATTAATACATTTGTGAGTCTTATAAGTTTAAAAATAAATGATGTTTGATCAAAATTAATAGGAAGGTGTTGGATGGTCTGTTTACTAGTGCAAAAATCATTTTCTACCACAGTTAAAATGCATTTTTAATGACGAAAGATGCTGTGTAGTAGAAGATTTTGTGATAATAAATAGGCATTTTTCATCACAGGTCAAAAGAAACTGTGGCGAAAGATAATATTTTTCACCACAGGTGCCATATGACCTGTGGCAAAAAACACAGTGGTGAAAAATATTATTTTTTGCCACAGATGGTCTCGGACTTATGACAAAAAATAGGAGATAAATATTATTTTTTGCCACAGATGGTCTCGGACTTGTGACAAAAAATAGGAGATAAATATCATTTTTTGCCACAGGTGGGTTCGGACCTGTGCATCTTTCGCCGCAGGTCCGAACCCACCTGTGGCCAAAAATCATTTTAGAGATCATTTATGGCCACAGTTTTATCCACAACTATCGTCATAAATAACTTTTTACCATAGTTATTGTAACAATTATGACCGTAAATATTATATTTTTTTTTACTCATACACTTATATTCATATACATCTTTTACTTAAAAACTTGCATTAATTAAGACACAGCAGCTCCAGAGACCAATATAAATATATCTGGTGAACACATATGAACTAAATTTATATTTCCAATACAAAATATCTAGAAAGCTTTACTCCAATTATGTTAATTTTAAGAAAAAACTAGACCACAAATTGCGTATATGTCTCAACTCTTGCTTAGAATATGGCTCTAAACTTTGGAAGTGCTGCAAATTCAATAATGATATATGCATGAATAATAATTTAAGTATATGGAAAATTTCATAATTATAAATTGTATTATCTGATCAAATGAGTAAACAATACATTGAGTGATGATTTCATACATAAAAATCATCACATAATAACCGCATTTTACACTTCCTAATCGTTGAGAACATTATAAAGAAAATAGAAATAATTAAATTCATTAAACTAATATTATAATCTTCATTATAATTAAAGAATAAATTTGAAATACTTACTTGCATTGGTACAAACTTGATTTTATTTTTTTTCTTGTCAACCATTTCCACTAATTTTTAATATGTTGCTAAAGATCTATTTATCAAATATACACATTTAGAAATATTAAATATATATTATTAATAACACAATAGAATTATTTAAAAACTTACAATTCAATCAAAGACTTCACGTCGTCATTTACTTTCCTTTTCAGTGAACAAAATTAGTATATAGTATTTTCATACGGGAAAATGATAGGAAGCATCCAATGATGACTACAATATATTAATTTATATTAATATCACATTATTAAGCAAATTTTTTATAAATTTAGTACCTCTCAATAATTGGTAAAAACCAATATCTCTTTTTTGCTTACACATCATCTTTCTAATATAAGAAGCTCTTTGATTCACTTTACCAATGGTGGTTAAAAGTAGAGATAAGAACTCATAATTTTCATCAACATCGAGTTCGATGCAAATCTTGTGGAGGTAACTTTAATAATTAGACATACATTAGCAATAAAATAAAAATATCAAATATTAATTTAGAAATAAAAATTAATACTTACATGATAAAAACTTGAATTATTAACAAGTTCAACTACTCAAAAATAATGAAGTCACTAATATCTTTTCTAGCAACTCTAAAAGTAATAGGCTTCTTAACAATCTTTTCGATTACGTTTATTTCATTAGAAAATTCATTCATGTCAACCACCACTAAAGCCAATAATTTCAAATCATCTTGCATCGGTTGGGGATTAAAATCCAAAGATTCTTTTAATTGTAGGAGTTCTTATAATTAATATATAATAAAAATTAAAAATACCTATGTTATTAATTAAAAAAATAAAAAATTATAACATTTTCATACCTCGTCAGTAACCTGATGGACTAGCTTTTTCAACCAAATAATGAAATTATGTTGAGCTTGTCCTATTATTTCCACCTTTTCAGGAGGAAATAGTATAAAAGCATTAGCATCCAAAACCTCTTCAACCATCGCCTTTACTTGGTTATATTGTATCTGTTGATGGTGGATTGTAGTTGCATGGTTATACACCTTTCCATATGCAATTACTCGTTTGTCTGATCCTTCACATAAAGTATGCATGGTATTCCTTGATCTGATAGACTGAGATCATGCACTGGATCTATAGCACCACCATAATTCGATGTTTGTTGTGGTTGCATTTGCAAATTACCAATCATTGATTGCATTTCCATCATTATGCTTGACTTGCTTTTCGCTATCATCATTTGCACTTGTAGATTGGTACAAGATTAAAAGGTGGAGTTTTAAAATATTGTCTTATACCCATACTTTTTAGAATCCCCTAACACGACCGGGTGCTCTTTACTCCTTAAGGTCGTGGTCAATATGTCCTTTCTATCAGTACACACAAAGGTCCCCTCGGATGATGCTTCTGTAAGAGCATCCTAGAACATGCAAGCAAGTAAAAATCAATGTGAGTAATAAATTTTAATTATATGATTAAGATATTGATTATAAAAACACTTACAATTTTCTCAGCTACTTTTCTAGCTTTCGGGAAAATAAACTCTCTCTTTTTATTCATCTATCCTCTCTTCCATGCTTGAGCACGATTACTAGGAGATGGAGGAGAAACGTCTTCAATATTATCAA